TATATATATATATATATTATTTAGTGCCTGGCACCGCAACGCTATAGGCCATATTGCTACATGTAGAAATCAAATTAACATAACATTGTTGCACTCTCTACCTCAGTGCTGTAGTGCTCCAATTCAAAATTTTCATATTTTCAATTTTTTTAAAATTTGGATTACTATATTTACTATGATATACTTGGAATGAATTATGATAGATTGTGTGTTTATGGTGGAAATAAGAATAGAGATGCCAGACATCTAAATTTTTTGAAATGGCGAGCATCGGCCTTGGTGTCAATGTTAATTAGGCATCAGTGTTGTTATTAGCATCAGGCATCAACTTTCTTATTAACGATGGGAAACAACCTTTTGGCACCAAGTTGTGTCAGTATTGGTGTTCACAGCAAGGATGGCCTTGTTAGCATTAATGGACTTCGACATTATTGGTGACAATATGCAATTTTTTTTTTTTTTTGCGTTGATAAACATCAACATTTTTATCTTCACTGGGCGATAACCTTATTAACATTGGCAAGTATTGATGTTGTTAGCAAAGGCAAGCTGTGAACTTTTTGGCATTTGAGGCTGTCAACATTAATGTAGGTGATGGACAACAACCTTGTTGGCTTCAACACACATGAACATTATTGGAGATAGTTAGTGAAGATCGTATTAGGAACAACTTGAACCAATGCTTATTTCAATGGTTGAAGAAGATCATGTTAATTAATGTCAACAAGCATCAGTGTTAACTTGCATATGCATTGGTGACAACATTGAATCAACGTTGGTGTTATGACCGAGCATTGTTATTGTTGGTGTCAAGCATTAGCATTTATGTTGATACAAGACTTATTGGAGTTTATGTCAATGTTGGGTGTCAGCATTATTGTCAGTCTCGAGTGTTGATGTTGTCAATGTCGAGCATTGGCATAATTTTCTATGATGTACGTTGGCTTTGATGATTCCCAAGAGTTCTTATCTTTCTCTTTTACTTGACATCCTCTCTACTTGCTATTTTTTTATTATCATGGGATTTCTAATATTCCTTTCAAAAGATAATGATAATAGAAGATCCACAAATTCCTAGCTACTAGATCTTGTAATCTCAATAAAAGGTTATATAGCCTATGAAAAGATTTAGTCATATCCTTATAAATCTCAATCAAATATTTATAATAAATTAAAACCTCACTTTTATCTTGTTGAGATCTAGTGATGAAAAAAAAAGGACTCCATAATTAAAACATTTAAGTCCACCTACTAAATCACAATAGCTTTTACAATTAACAAATATCTTATATAAATTTTTCAATACTTAAAACTTTTCTCTTTTAATTTTCTTAGCTAGCAATCTGATCAGTAAAAGATATTTCCTTCAATTAATTTCCAATACAAATCTTTTTCATTGGTTATTTAACTCTCACACAAATTCTTTATATCATTCATAGGTGCCCTCCTAAAATTATCAGAAAGCTTCTTAGTTGTCCCTAAGTATTCATACTTGAAACATTTCTATTACAATTATTTACAAAACAATGATAAATGGCATTATATATATATAAGGAGCTGAGAGTATGCAATAAATTAAGGTTATAAATGAACCAACTCATGCTCGAGTCATGACTAACTCAAACTCGGCTTGTCTATTCAATGTTAAAGTTGAACACAAACTTGCGCTCGAGTCAAGCTCAAATAGTGAGCTCAAACTTAGCTCAGTGGGAAAAAGGTGGGCTCATGCTTGACATGTGAGCTTGGGCTAAAAGACGAGAGCTTGATGGAGGAAACCTAACTTAAAATGGATGCTTCGTCAATCCATCCATTGAGGCCATTATATTAGTCATACAGTCGGGTGAAACTGCCCTACTATTTGCAATTGTCAAAGGTGTGCATAGGTAAATGAATTGCACAATCACACTTAAGCCTAGGGTCAAGGATGAGCAATGTGTAAATTTGTGTGGCAGCGTCTATGTGAAATAATTTAGGATTCTTTACCTAAAAACTACGTTATAAAAAAAGGAGGGATTTGAGATGGACAAATTAGGAAAAGCATAAAATTTACGTATTTTGTATGTTAGATTTTTAAATGAGTAAACAAAACTCAAGCAATGGACGATATAAAACAATAGAGTAGCTCATCAAGCTATCGAGCCGAGTTTCGTGAATCTCAAACTCGAGCTTGTATACCATATAAGCTCGATCATAGGCTTGAACTCGAGCTCAAGACTTACTAAGCTCAATAACGAGCCAAGCTAAAACCAACATGCAAAACTCCTTGATTCACACCCCCTACAACAAACCAATCATATTTCTCTTTATTGCATCTTTATTTTCACTTCTTTTTTAGAGTTCAATAGAGTTGAAATCCTCACACAAGATCTACTATCCTATCAAATAACAAAACTCATGAAAATAATATCGCTTACTCCATTAAGTCAAATATAAATCACAAGAATATCCATTAGATCAGCTTTTCACCCCGAGATCAACCAAGATTTCTTCCCTTGTACCAACGATATCAAGAAAATTACTCTATTGGACTGTTTGGCTACAGGATTTATGCCTGATTTTAAAGCATATATATATATATATAAATTCTTGCTTAAACAGGAACTGTCCTGCCACCAGCATTTTCCTGCATTTCCTCCTCTTCGTTCTCCCCGGACATCTCCTCCAGAGATTTTCCCTTTGATTCAGGCACCAGTAATGTGAAAACAAGACCCAGCAGATTACAAGCAGCCAGCACAAACAAAGAATTCCTCACTCCAATCCCAGGCGGATATCCTCTATCAGTCTTCGTCTTATCCTTGTTCTGTGCTGCGTACAGAAATCCAAACGATCCCACAATAGCTCCGGCCTTCCCGGCCGCCGCCGATATTCCATGGCACGTCGACCTCAACCTCGCCGGAAATATCTCCGCCGGTACAATGAAAGTTGTGCTGTTAGGCCCAAAATTGGCGAAGAAGAAGGTTAGCCCATACATAACCACGAAGCCAATGTGATTTCCCGGCGTCGTCCAATGATGGTAAGGAATTGCAAGCCCCAGCATGAATACCATCATGAAGAAGAATCCCATCATTTGTATGGTAAACCGTCCGATAATATCGATCAGCGCAACTGTGAACCAGTAACCGGGTACGGTGCCGCATAGGGCGATGAGAGTCTGAGCCCTCGAGATCTTGAAAACCTCTTCCAACGCATTCATCGTCGCCGCCTTTGGTATCCATCCTATAGCGCTAAAGATGTCTTTTTGAAACAGGTTCTGGCTGTAGAACGCGATGTCGAGAACAAACCATGTCGTCGTCGTTCCGAGTAGATGAAGGCCGTGGCGATGAAGAAACTCCTTTGAAAAAAGACCAAATTGATTGCTTTCTTTAAGAGTAATTCTCTCAACCTTCTCCTGCTCCTCCTGGATATCTACTTGAAGCACTCTGGTCATGTCCTGCGCCGCCTGCTTCGCGTTCTTCGCCACCAACGCGGTGTACCGAGCCGTTTCCGGCATCTTCATCCGCCAGTAGTAAGTCACCCCCGCCGGGATGGCGCCGAACATGAGAATAATTCTCCATACGAAGTCGGCTTCCGGCACGGTGGAGCCGATGGCGTCCGCGCTGTAAGGAGGCGCCTTGAAATGGTTTTTGAAGGCGGAGGATACGATAAGCGTGACGATCCCGCCGGTGAGAATTCCGAACCCCTGCATCGCGAAGACGGCGGCGATGAACGCGCCGCGTGTCTTTTTGTTAGCGTATTCCGACATGATGGTTGCGGAAAGGGGGTAATCGCCGCCGATGCCGAAGCCGAGCCAGAAGCGGAAGAAACAGAGTGTAGCCATGGTGCTTTTGGCCGTGTGGCCGAAAGAAAGGCCGGAGGCTATGGAGCAGATGACCATGATCATGAGGGTCATACCGTAAACCTTCTTCCGACCCATCTTGTCACCGAGCCAGCCAAAGAAAAGCTGGCCGGTTAGAGTGCCGCAGAAAGCGACGCCGTTAACGGCGGCCGAGACGTTTGGGGGAAGAGTGCCGGGGGTCGGAGAGCCGTCGACGCGGTAGTAGATGCGGCCGAGGAGCTTGGTGACTAAAGAGATGCAGAAGAGATCGTAGGCGTCGGTGAAGAATCCCATGCCGGCGATGATGATAGCGGTGAAGTGGTAAAGTTGGGTTTTTGCTACATCGAGCGCGTTCAGGACTTCGAGCTGCTGTCTAGCCATTATTCCTTGCTTCCTCTTCCTCTGAAATAAGTGAAGGCAAAAAAGTTCTCGACCTGTACAGAAAAGTCGATAAAGTACATATAAGATAATTAGAAGAAGAAGAAGAAGAGTCAATAGTTCAACAGCGACGCAGAAAAGCAAGAATCAAGATTAAAGAGGAATCGAAAAACGAAACGAACTTCGTGAAAGATATATGTAAAGCTTGGATCTTTTTTTTTGGGGGGGTAAAAGCTTGGATCTTGCAAGGTTCGAGATTTGTTATAATTATTATTATTACTATTGAAGAATTTAAACAAGAAATCAAATCAATAAAGGTCAACGGATCAAGGCCTTCGGGAAAGATAAAAGTTAAACTTGAATTTTGCTTTATTCTGATACATCAATTATACTTTAATTTGGTTATAATTAATTTTTTAAAATTTTATAACGAAAATTTATTTTTATTACCAAAATATTTTCAAAACACTGGCAATCAGTGGATTTTTTTTTAATTCTAGTATAGATCTAGAGTAAAAATGGATTATTAAAAAAACTAAAAAAAGGAAAATTTACATAAATATCTCATAATTTGTATATATCTATATATTTATTTTTGACCCCATTTTTTCCAGATTTTTCTCTTTTTTTTTTTCAATTATGAACTCAAACATGTTGAAGCAGAACAGAAGAGAATCGCATAAGTGATTAAAGAGTTAATTACTTAAACTAACAAGGGATTATAGCTTGATTATGAAAATAATTAACAGTTACTTAGTTATTTGAAGAGAAATGGAGAGAAATCACTTACCAGATCTTTGTTTGGAGGAAACTTGAGAGGGCGGCCTGCTTGAGAGCCGTGAGGGAGGGAGGAAAGGGGGAGAGAGAGGAGAGAGAATGATTGAAGGAGAGTGTGCGGCAGAGGAGGAGTATTTAATGGGGTTAAGGCACGGCGAAGTGACGGAGCGGTGGAACGGAAAACTATCTTTTAGCTGAAGTCAACGGTATTTCGACGACTGACTGAAAACGCGGATGTGGACCCCACCTCGCTGATTGGAAGATGGGATATTTAAAACTTTGAATAATCTGCTAGATTAATTTTTTATTTAAATTTAAATAATTTGTGAACGCATATGTGAAATGTATATATGTATGATCACCTCCATCAATTGCCCATCGCCTGACCACCATCATCATTGAGTAACCATCAATCGATCATTGCCTTTGGACTGCTACTTGACAATCGCTGACTTTTTCACTTGTCATCAGAACCAATGACAACATACACCATCATTTGTAAAAATGATGTATGTTATAGACACCAACACTTATACCAACGGGCTTTGTTTCTCATCGTCATGACCAACGTTGTCGCGTGCTATCGCCTATAAGGTCAATGCATATCGTCGGCACAAACACTAAAGCTTGATATCTTCATCCCTGCAGTCATCAACAACATTAATGCACATCATTGTTGTAATAGAGTTGGCACACATCATAAAATATAAGGATGATGCATGTCGTCATTATAAACATTGATACTTATTAACTTTGTTATCATCATCACCAATAGTGTTAGCACATGCCATAACTTAAGAGGCTAATATGCACCATCGATATAAATTGGTGAATCATGTTGAATTCTTCATATATCGTCACCAATAATGTTGATGCACGTTATTACTTATAACGTTGGTGGTGACGATAATACCCATCAACTTCTTTCCACAATTCCAACACACAACTTTCACTCCATCTGAGGTAGACTTCCTTTTGTTGATTTAGAACTCCCTCTACTTGGAGATCTCTTTAAACCTCTTCCTTAGCTTTAACATTCATAGTAGAATTTGAAGATTCAGTATTTGCCTTCCTACGAACCTCTTCATTAAGTACTAACTCCATGATGTCCTCATTCAATGTGATGTCCTCATTCAATTTTGAACTTTCGAAAGAGTTACTCACAGCAAAAATCAGCCCATCCCAACTATCTTACAATGAAGATAACAATAGTAACACTTTCACCTCGTTATCAAACCTGATGCCAACTGAACACAACTGACTCATCTTCTTGTTCAGATTATTTAGGCGCTCTGAAATTGAAGTGTTGTCTAACATCTTCATATTGAATAACTTATTCATCAAAAATACTTTATTTGAGGTCGATGAGTTCTCATGTATCTTAGTTGGCATAGCTATGAGATCGACTGTAGTCTTCTTATTTACAATAATGCATGTAACATATGTGAAAGTGAAAGTGAAAGTCAAATCAAACTTAATGTATTCCGGTAAAGAACCTCTCACTCCTCGATTGTCATTGAATCTGGCTACTTAGTGATTCCTTCCAACAATAAATAGAACTTCTTTTGATAAAGCAAATCTTCAATTTGCTTTTGAACTTTTAAATATTGTATCTAGTTTTGTTATCCATTACTCTCACTCTAACTAAAGAACACGACTCAGATACCAAATGTTTGAGGGAATGAAAACCACGCAACGAAACAAATAAGAAATAAAAAAATGCCGTGAAAAAAAAAAAGAAAGCAAGATTTTACATACCCATGCACCGTTCTAGCACTAGAATATATAAAGCGATACAAATACAACCACTAAGGAATACAACCCTTAATGAAAACGATAAAGAAAACTACCCAACTAGTCTCACGACATTGCCACACTAAGTTTGAGCACCACGACTCTCCCACTCTCAGTCGACACGATAACGACCTAGCACCGGGTCTGGAGCGACACAGCGCTTAGGTTTGTAACATCATAGTACTTTGCTTTTCTATCTTTTTTTACTAAACTATGTAGTATCAGTGCACTATAAAAAAAATATCATGTTCCTATCATGGGGAGGACCCCCAGCAAGCTCATCATACTTAATTGAGATCTAAGAAAATAGTACAATTGAATTAATCAACACAATCAAATTCTACACGTAATTAATATCCTTTTCTGCTAAGAAAAATCAAACATACCATGAATGCCTCTTGAAGGCATATTAAATGCCTCAGGGCTATATTCCAATTTCCACCATGGATTTCATTCTCTATAGTTCATGTCTATTATATTGTGTTATACCTTCCCCAACTAAGAGAAAATATATCATTTATACCAATGATATATACTAGTAGAATCATTACAACCATATCAAACTCCATGATTTCCCTCTTTATAGACTTTTTACATAAACCCCTTTGTGCCTCTTATATCTCCTATTTTATCTTTGCATATCTCTTATAATATTAAATAAATATGAGGATAAAAAAAAAAGTTCTATGAATTTAAAAAATTGCAATTAATATAAAATTAAAAGAGTTCATTATGAAGAAGCATGACAAACATAAATATTTACAGCTTTTTCGCCTTGCCTCTCCACCTGCCAACCGTGTAGAACCTCTTTCTTTGTGCCTCTTTTCCCCCATTATCCTTTGAGGATATTCTTGAACCCAGAGAGTATATCCCTGTAGAAGCCACCAAAACTCCAAAAGGGTAAAGAATATTCAGTGCATATACACAACATATACTATGTAGATACAAAGAGAAAAATAAATACAAAAGAGACAAAATTTGTCTATTTTAATCTTAATTTCTTCTTCTTCTTCACATTACACGCATGCAACTTGCTAAAGAAATATTCAAAGTGAGGGCCTTGTTGTTGGTGAAAGGAAGTAATTGATTTTTCTATTATTATTTCATGAATCGGCTTTGATCGAGCATGAATATCAATATATATTTAAGTTAAAATTAGGACTATTTGAACTCTGATTTTGATAAACTTTTAGTTGAACGCTAGACAGACCCACCGATACTAAAAACGGTCCAGTCTAAATTCGAATGATCACATATCAAATACTTAAAACGTAATTAGAATGTTCGGGATACTAATTTGATGACCTAAATATGTTTAGATCTCGCATGCTTATAATCAAATAGAGGTATCAATGAGACAAATCTGACGAGCCAAAAATTGCTTAATTCTGACATCGTTAAGACACATAAATGTTGAATAAATTATCTACACGAAGATCTTGCACGTAGCTTTGTCAAAATATAAAAATCACAAATGGAATTTTTAATTTGTGGTAAAAATTGGTATAAAGTATTTTAAATATTAAGTAAAAATGCCTCAAAATTTTGAAAACAATTATCTTCATATTTGCATTCATTAACTTCGCACTTTAAATTTATTTTTAATTTTACATTAGAGAGAAGAATTTTTCTCTCATTAGGGAATAATTATTTTGTGCGAACACCGGACACAGGTAAAGTCCGGAGCTCAATGAAAATGCGTCTTGTCACTTGGTACCGAGCGGTATTTAGGGTATATATCGAGCCTCGGTACTAAGTACCGAGTAAAGTGACACATTTTTATTTGACTCTGGACGGCGTTCAGCGTTCGCACATAATAATTTTTTCCTCATTAGGAGAGCAATCTTCACTTTACACTTATTTAGATTTTAATGTTATAATCATTAAATATAAGATAAAATTATTTATTTTATTTAAGATTGATTATATAAACCAATGACATTTATTATTATAGAACAATCAACCAGATTTATAAAAATGTCTCATTAGAAATAAATGTGATTTCCAAAGAGAAATAAATTCAAATGGTTCAAGATTAAATACATTACACATTAATTATAATTATTGTAATTTATATTTGATACGTCCTCAAAAATTGCTTTGATCGAGCACGAATTTCGAGACAGATTCAAGTTGGAGATTTGTGATCATCTGAATTCCAATTTCAGGAAACTTATAGACAAATTGAACATCTCAAAGGGACAAATCAAACAACACCGAAATTGGTCCGACCCAAACCCAAATGGGTTCGAATCAGGGGCCCGTACCACATTTGAAAGGGTTAAAGTATTATTTGAACAATAAAATGATTTCCAAATATGGCATGCTTTTAGTCAAACCGAGAGGCTCAGCGAGACGAATCCAACGAGCCCAAGATCTCTGAATTTTGACATAGTTAAAGCACATAAACAGTTGAAAAACTCTCTATGATCGGAGGAATCAATGCGAGCCATACGATGGAGCACTCTGAACCTGCCTCGGATTCTCTAGATTTACGGGGTGTGCCACTCATAAAAATCTATAAATAGACCCCCACTCTCTGCATGAGGGGTACCTGGGCTGGAGATTAGGGTGAGCTCTAAAGCTTTAAGAGCTCTAGCACCACCGCCCGGCCGGCGACCGGATTCGTCGAACCACCGCCCGGCCGCCGACCACCGCCAAACTTGAGCCCACCGCCCGACTGCCGACCAGTTTCGGACCATTGCCCGGACGCCAACCTCCTCCGGACTATAGCCTGACCATCGTCGGACCACCACCCGGCCGCTGACCATCGTCGGACCACCACTCGGCCGCTGCCCACCACCGGACTTCTTCCTGACCTTCGTCGGACCACCGCCCGGTCGTCGACCATCGCCGAACCACCGCCCGGCAGCCGACCGCCGTTGGACTTCAGCCCGGCTATCACCGGACCACCGCCAGACTTTCGTCGGATCGTTCATTGTTAGCCAAATTTCTGCACAAAAGCCGTCAATTTTTTGTCCGACAATTATCGCTCTTTTGACTAGCTCTTCAAATTACTGTAATGTGACTACCTTTAAATCGAGGGATGGGTCAACCCTTGTAATTCACTCAAGTTTAGTGGAATGTTTTCACCTAGGCAAGGCCTATTCGGGTTTTCCATGTAAAAAAGATCGGGTGTCTTGATCTCTCTTTTTTTTCTTGCGTGCCGGATCTTCGTACAATGCTAAGACGCTAAACTTCATTTTTCTCTGTCATCGTGAATATTCTTGGACGCAACAGTTTGGCGCCGTATGTGGGAATGCCAGTCTCACTATCTTAAAAGCACCCCTGCAATGGCCAACAGGCACAGTAATCGTATCTTGGGAGCCTCCCGCTCCAATTCACATCAATCCCTGAATCAGGGATGCTAGGCA